CTGTGATCAAAGCTGTATTTTCAGCATCATTACTCCAGTCTTCAGTGTCACATGATCTTCAGAAATCATTCTAATATGATGATTTGCCGGAAACAATTATATATTTTATTTTCAATATTCTGTGATGAATAGAAAGTTGAAAAGAGCAGCATTTATTTGAAATCTTTTGTAACATTATAAATGTCTTTACTGTCACTTTTGATCAATTTAATGCGTCCTTGTTGGATAAAATAATTTATTTCTTTAAATAAAAATCAAACTGAACCCAAGCTTTTAAACAGTAGAGTATACTGTATGTAGTTTTGGGAAGGAAGTATATCTGAGGACGATGAGAAGCGCTTTACTGATTATGGTCTGATTCATCAGTGATGAACGCTGCAGACCGGCTACACATTTCTGGAATTGATATATATACACACAAAGAAAAATAGCTGCGCTGCAGGAAAACATATCTGGACCAGAATGTCTCATCTAGATGTCATATATCAAACTGTTGCCATTTATTCTGCTCCTCTCAAGAGCTGAGGAACCATTTCAGCAAATAAGACAAGGCACGAGTTCAAATGTCACACAAACTGCCCTTTTCACTCCGGTCAGACCCGATCAGAATTGAGTCACTCGCTGACCGTCTGTGACATGAAGGCTGATGAGTGTTTGCTAGATCATCTGTCACGAGGTTCAGTGTAAAAGGAGGGTGAGACATGACAAATCACAAAACAGCTAAAGACGCCTGAAAACCCTCAAACACACGCTTTTTTTATATTTATTTTATGTGCATTTGATTGAGTCCCTTTGGAGTTACAATTATCAATTATTAATATGCAAATTAACTTTAATAATTGTTGAACATAGTTATTATTGTCATCATATAATTTAAAAATATTTTTGTTTAGTTTTTAATTAAGACTAATGTACAGTGTTTTCATTAATATCAATGACAAACAGTGTTGGGGGTAATATATTACAAGTAACGCAAGTTACGTAATCAGATTACTTTTTTCAAGTAACTAGTAAAGTAACGCATTACTTTTTAATTTACAAGAGAATATCGGAGTTACTTTTTCAAATAAGTAACGCAAGTTACTTTTTTTTTTTCAATTTATTGATTGACAGCTCTCCTGTCCCCATGTTGAGAGAAATCAGAAGATGTTACTGTAGTTCTAAAATAAATATGAATATGCATTAATTCATCTCACTCACAAAAAAAAAACCCCACACAGATTCAGTATTTCTCAAAATGAATAAAAATAATGCAACTCGGAATATGACGAAAACCTGCAATAATTAAATGTTAAACAACACAAATATCCTTTATGTATTTAATACCATTCTATTAACCAATGTCTTTGCTTCTGACCTTCGATGATCCAGTTCAACCATACTAATCAGCAAAATTACTCCTAGAAAAACATTTGTGTGTCTTTTTTTTTATTGCTGAAGTGTGTTGAAATTTCTTCTTCTGCATTCTACTGTACGGACGTAAATTTACTGTACTGTTTACAGCCTGAGGCTTATTCATTTCACTTTTGGTGTGAAAGGCTTTTATATTTGCCAAAAATAGAACTTTTTTATTTTAAAAACAAACAAGCAAGCCCTGTCCAGATTTAAAAAGTAACGCAAAAGTAACGTAACGCATTACTTTCCATAAAAAAGTAACTAAGTAACGTAATTAGTTACTTTTTTTAATGGAGTAATGCAATATTGTAATGCATTACTTTTAAAAGTAACTTGATGATAAATACTTGTAAATATAAATTATATAAAAGGAAACCTATTTTATCATCATTACGATTTCATTTTGCATTGCGACAGTATTTTCAGAATTTATAAGGGTTCCTTTGAAGTTATAATAATCAATAATTAATATGCTAATTATCTTTATTTATTTTAAATAATAGTTAAACAAAGTTATTATTTTCATTATATAGTTAACAAAAACGTAGTTCAGATTTTAATAAGGTTACCATATAGTGTTTTCATGATATTGCATTATAAATTAAATAAATCTCACCCCATAAATCACATGGAAAATAATAAACTCATTGAAATATAAATTATTTTAAATGAATCTTATTTTATTATCATTATGGGGTTGTTTTGCATTGTTTGCATTGTGTTTTGCATTATTATCTTCATAATACAGTTAACAAAATATATTTTAGATTTTAAGATTAATGTATGTGGTTTCATAATATTGCATCATAAATTAAATTAAATTAATTTCACCCCATAAATCACATGGAAAATAAAATACATTTGAAATATAAATGATTAAATATTTGAAACCGAAATCATTTAGAATGAAACCCATTTTCTTATTATGGGTTTGTTTTGCATTGTGACATTATTTTCATTACTTATATGGATTTTATTGAAGCTATAAGCATCTAATATTTCAGATTTGCGTATTCGTTTCCAGGTTCTTTAAAGCACCAGAACATACCTGAGAACTGTGATGACTACAGATAAAAAGCAAAATTATTTGTATAAAAATAGCTAAGAAAAAAAAAACTTCTCTCATCAAAGAGCATCATTAGAACCTTGTTAATTAGTGGCTAATTTCCATCTCTGGTTTTACTGTGACTGTCATGCAGAGATCTGGTCTGACGGTCGTTCAGATGCAGCCACAGGAAATGAGGTCCTGAGGGGGTCGTTACAAACTCACAGAGCACCATCACTGCACCCAGAACCGAACAGTTACCGCTCACATGCTCATCAAACAGAGATGATTGACAGCTGACCAGAATATCACAAAGACTTGGCAACCACACAGAATACCCTACAGCAACAGCATAGCAACACACTACAAACACTTGAAACACCATAGCAACACACTACAAACATATGGAACACCATAGCAACACACTACAAAACACTTGAAACACCATAGCAACACACTACAGACACTTGAAACACCATAGCAACACACTACAAACATATGGAAAACCATATCAACACACTACAAACACTTGGAACACCATAGCAACACACTACAAACACTTGGAACACACTCCAAACACTTGAAACACTACATGTTTGTAGTTTGTAGTGCAACACACTACAAACACTTGGAACACCATAGCAACACACTACAAACACTTGCAACACTACATGTTTGTAGTTTGTAGTGCAACACACTACAAACACTTGGAACACCATAGCAACACACTACAAACAACTTGAAACACCATAGCAACACACTACAAACATATGGAAAACCATATCAACACACTACAAACATATGGAACACCATAGCAACACACTACAAAACACTTGAAACACTACATGTTTGTAGTTTCACACTACAAACACTTGGAACACCATAGCAACACACTATAAACACTTGGAACACACTCCAAACACTTGAAACACTACATGTTTGTAGTTTGTAGTGCAACACACTACAAACAC